GCAGCCGGTAAGGTTTCAGGCTCTTCTTCCTGGAGGATACGCTGCAAGCCTGTTGAGCGAGGTGACCTTGCTCGGGTCCCAGGTGTACGGTTCCTAAAATGGCTGCCATATACACGTCCACTGATAGGAGACGCGGAAGGTATTAAACTGATCAGAACAATACTAAACACACCACAAATAGGTTTCTCTCCTGTATGGCTCCTCAAATGATGCTTAAGATTAGAAGCGGCTGAAAAGCATTTCTCACACTCCGAACAAAAATATATTTTTTTAACATTCTCTCACTTTGAACGAAATGACGTTTGGGAAGAGATTAACATAATTAAACACAGGCAGTAAAAATACAGTTTTTAGCCATACCCTGTAACTTTAAAACTACACATCCCATCTTCATAATTACATATTTGGAATCAGCACACTTAAAACATAAACATAACAAAAAATAAGCAAAATCAATCAAGGGTTAAAAAGTTAGCTGGAGGTCCTTTATGACCGACCGCCAATACATTTTCCTGCCCAAAACAGTTCCATAGATTTTGGAGAAACTTGTGAGGTCGGTCTATTTCCAGGCTGAAAAAAGCGACTAGTCCCATGTGAATGGGACTTAGTCTCTGCAACTGAAATAAGGCTGAAAAAAACGGCTGAAAAAAGACTAAGTCCCATAAGCAGATAGGACTTAGTCTCTACAACTGAAATAATTTCCATTTACTGAACCAAGTGGGAATTAGCCAGGCAGGCACAAAGGGTTTGCACCAGGTCTGGGGACACAGGGGACACCGTCTTAAAGGGGCAGTGTCCCCAACAAGTCTAGGGACACGGCCTTAAAGGGGCAGTGTCCCAATCCTCCTGATGTCCCAAAAAAGGTGTTTAAAGGGCCAGCACCAGTCACATAAAGAGTCCATAAGCCCCAATATGCCCACCGACAGTCTTAAAGGGCCATACACACCAAATAAAAGTGCATACATTTTCACAATCTCCCAGGGCCATAGTCATGCGGGAGGAGGCTGGCAAAGAGGCTTCTCCACAACCCAGGGAAACAGGGCAATTTGCCATTTAAAGGGCCCGTTACAAATAGCAGTTGTAACAAGGTGTCAATCCATATCTGCCAAGTGACCCGATGTAGGGGGACCAGTCCCTATTCTGCTCTGTGTCAGTGTGTACCAGGGAACCTTAGGACGGGTGTCAATCCATATCTGCCAAGTGACCCGATGTAGGGGGAACAGTCCCTATTCTGCTCTGTGTCAGTGTGTATCAGGGATCCTTAGGACAGGTGTCAATCCATATCTGCCAAGTGACCCTATGTAGGGGGGACAGTCCCTATTCTGCTCTGTGTCAGTGTGTATCAGGGGCTCTGAGGACAGGTGTCAATCCTTGTGTCAAGGGAGTGTCAATATGTCATATGTGAGTGTCCAATCCATATTGATTGTGATTTAGGAATGTTAGGTGATTTCTGCCTTTATGGATTAAAACCAGACTCTGTATCAACTGTGTAATTTTCCATGGGAGTTTTGCCATGGATCCCCCTCGACATGCCACAGTCCAGGTGTTAGTCCCCTTGAAACAACTTTTCCATCCCTATTGTGGCCAGAAGAAAGAGTCCCTGTGTGTTTTAAAATTCGCCTCCCCATTGAAGTCAATGGCGTTTCGGGCGGTTCGCCGGTTCGCGAACATTTGCGGAAGTTCGCGTTCGCCATTCGCGAACCGAAAATTTCGGGTTCGCGACATCACTACTGGACAATAAAATGGTTTCAAATGCCTTCTGCTGGGGATACAATGCAACATTGAAACTTTTTTTTTTTCTTTTTTTTAAATGCAGATTGTCTGCATCTTTTACTTTAAATTTTATATACAAACAGAAACCAACACGTCTAAACACATTCAAACCAGCTTGTAAATCATTTGTTTGGGGGAACACAAAAACATTGCACATCATACATTAAAGGGATGTTAAACGGCAGACTTAATTGTCTGGTCAGTTATTACACACTTGTGACAATGAAGAAAGCATT